GTTAGACTTTGCAAGAGGTTAAAGTACAATTTAAAAGTTGAAGTTATGTAAGGTATACAAATGAATTTTCAAACAGATGAATTGGGAGGTTTCATTTTGTTGTTTTCATTCATTTCAAGCTTCAAGATAAATCACAAGTGACATGGATTATTGTGAAGGAAATAAACTCTGACACTACTTTCCCACTTCTGACACAGCACCACTGTTTCTGCCATGTGTACAGACACCCTAAAATTAATCATTTGTAATCATAACAAGACACCTGGGAACCATGTTTTATACAAATATAATTACGTGAGTAGTATTCTAATAATAGTCAATTGATTCTGCTGCTTATTATCCATTTACAATGTTTTAATATGAAATGCAGAAAAAACCTAGGAAATATTTATCCATTAATAACAAATACAGGAAACCATACAAATGTATATGAATTCACTTTGCTCTGGTACTGTAGATGGACATTACAAGTATACATTTTGAACATTAAAAGATCAGAGTATAATATCAACATCACCTCTAGGTTTAAAAACATTCTGGTGATATTCCTCCTGGGGAGTCATGCCAAACCCTTAAAGCTTTTTAAAGCTTCTTTTGAAGTGGCATGTCGTGCTATTGGAAATATCAGTTAAGGACATTCCTGCAGTTCTAGTGACTGGTAGTGATACAGTATGTGTAATGTGAGCCAAGGTGCCGAACTATTATCATACCGTATCAAGCATTGCCACTGGCCATTTCTAAATAATCTGAACTGAGCCAAAATATGTTTTTTTTTTCTCAGAGACAGTTGACCTGGGAAGTTGTGTCACTATATTTAAAGTTAAATATGATTCATACAAGAGTACCATACAGATAACGTACTTTGTATCTATTGTATCTTTTGATCTTTGTTAACATACTGTACTGTCTAATCTGTACAGTAAATTACTTTTGTATTTTACTAAAAATGTACAAATTATGTCTATTATACCATTAACATATTTCAGGCTTGTACGGTAACTGTGAAGTACTACCCATCTAAAATACATAAACCTATGGGTTGTTCATTCAATATGTCACCTGGATCTGACAGAGGATATGAGTGTATTTCAGCATACACCCAAATATTTAGTAAAAATTCAATAAAATCATGTCAGGGATGTAAATTGAAAAATAAAAAAACAAAGCAGTACTAAACTCTTAATCAATTCTCTAGTATTAACAGTAGAAGAAATACCTGTTAGGCAATGTCTTTATTGGAACAAGTAATAGGTTTATTCCATGGTGAAAAAAGGAAGAGAGAAAACACAACTTTTCGGCCTTGGAGCTCCACGGCCGAAACCTTGTGTTTTCTCTCTTCTTTTTTTCAGCATGGAATAAACCTATTACTTGTTCCTTTGCAGCCTACACATGCTGACACAGCTACCCACCTGAACTACTACTGTCTTTATTGTACAGTTTATCTCCCTGGTATGACTTGCTCATTTTCCTGTTTACTCTTTATCAGACACATGTGAGATATTTAAAGAGTAAGTCATAGTAAGTCATATCACAGTTGAACCAACAAAGCAAATACATACAGTACAACACAGAGCACAAATGTCACAGGTGGTCATGTTGTCTTACATTATATATTCAGTTTAAAAATTGAATACTGAATCTATTGAATGATAGATCAGTGTGCTTGATAAAACTGACAGTACTGGTGAATTCAGAGCTAATAAACTATTGAATTCTCCATTACATGAAGAGGTGGGAGGGATAATTGTTTAAGGGTCATATAAACATTTCTAGTGGTACATTAATTTTTCATACTGATCTGGCATTCTTTCATCATGATTTTGGATGCGAAATCAAGTAGTGATTTTATCACTATAAACTGTATGGAAAGCCTGTTTATCTTGGTTTCACTTTTCAATGTTGTAAATGCAATTCAAAACACAGAGACCTTGTATCTCAGATTTACTTCTAGATAAAATCCGGTAT